TAATAGTTGACTTACAGTATGGTGTTAGTTTTCACTCATGGGAAGTGTCCCTCAGTACAACCACTGACTGCATCACCAGTAGCTTCTGCCCTCCAACGAGTGAAAAATGTGTCACTCTCTTGTCAAATGATGGCTGTGTCTTGCCCGTGTTATGGTCATTCTATCTTTTTACTGTTGTTTTCTGATGCAGGATCATGGCAGCAAAGATGCAATGAAACAACCTGTGTCTACATATTTAAAAACTAAAATTACATGCACAGAATAAACCAGTGCTGTCCTACCCACTGTCTGGTTATGACAATATGATTCACACAAGACAGGATTCACAATCCAGAGAGGCGACCACTAAGAGGGACTGTGAAGGGGTCCAGGGTCATCACTTGGAGTAGTTTTGAGAAGGAAAGGGGTTTGAAGTGAGGAATCATGGAGAAGCATCCAGACTCTAAACCACTCTGGAAGAGAAGGGCTCTAATGTCACCCCTGCCAGGCTTGGTGGTGAGGACTTGATTGTTTTTCAGAGCAGTGAGTTGTCCTCTGACTGTTGGGGGTTTTGAAGCACTTGGTATGATCAGTGTTGAGCGAAGTAGCAGAAACAGCATCTTCAGCAGCTCTGTACTGCCTTCAGAGGGACGGTGCTCCAGCTTCTTGGCCAGTATTCAAGTCTCTGCCCATCATTTCCCAGCCTATTTCCATAGCCACAGCTTCCTCTTTTCTCCTACTGGAATCTTCTCCAGTCAGACTGAGCTTGTTGCTTCCCAAACAGGCCACGTGCTTCCTCCTCCCTTGCATCTGCGTGTTGTTCCCACTCTTGGAATGCCCTTCCCTCAGCCTCCCTGAGCACATGCTGTCCCAAATTCAGCGCCACAATTCTCAGGCCAAAAAGCAATGGTTAGGAAGCAGCAGAAGGTGGAGTCAGCTTCAATATAAAGTAAAAAAAATACTAATTCGAATGACCCAGGGCTTGGTACCAACAGGTTCCTGGATGCTTGAAGAACCAGTAGAAGAGCATGAGCCAGGAGAGATGTCACTCCAACCTGTACCCACACTAAGGCTCAACTCATCCAAAAGGAAAGCGCGATGAAAACATGTTCAGCAAAATTATACATGCTCATTTCTTAACACAGTTCTCAGATTTAATCGTAGGGAACGTTTGTTTTGATTTGAATTTCTCTCATTTTTAGACACAATTTCTCTTGCAAACTAGGTCATTTGAATTATCTGCTGATAGTTCAAATCTGTAGATAATTTGCTTTTACTCACATTCCTAAGAACTAATTACCTGTACATATAAAATGATGAAATCTCATTATATTTTCTTTTAAAACTCTGACATGCATTTAATTACATTAGTCAATTATTACTGTACATGCTGAGGATTTGCTATTGACCAGCTCGTGCTGGAATATTTACTGCACAGATGTGTTACTTTAATTAAACAAATGTGATTACACACATATCAATTTTTATTTGGTTTCAAAGCCCAGAATCTAAAAGTGATGCAGTTGGCAGAGCTGTACGGTATGGCGCTGGTTCCCAGGAACGCAGCGAGAGGCTCTTTACTGAGGGAACACCAAATACCTGCAACTCTGCATGGGAAACTTCAGCCACAAGTGGGTTTTTGTCCGTGTGTAAGTGCCACTGAGTGAACTCAGTAAGGGAACAACAAACCAGCTCTGGATCTTCCTAGAACATCTTCAGCTTTGTTCTCTTATTTATAGAGCAATGAGGGATCATGACTGGAGAACCACAGGAAAATGAATCTAAAGGTCAATTCACCGGGAAGCAGGCACATCTTGCGATTGGTGCTTTGTTAATAGGTGAGTTGATATTTGTTTATAAAATCAGAGGAGACATGGAACAAGCATTTAAACACTGTACTTGGTCTCTTGGGGTTCTTCCTGTCATAAACTACAGTATATCCCCAAACTGTGTGGCTAGCATCAAGAAGGATGGCCATCTTCTAATGCTTAATCCCAAGCACGCAGTTCTGAGTAACAACAGGAAAACTTAGAGAACCAGAATGTGCTTTATGAACTGGAGTGATATAAAATTCTCAAACCCTCCTAGTACAGTGACTGCACCTATCAGGGACTTAATAGTAAGTAGACTTGGAAGCTATTAGTCAATTCATCAATCAACAACCAGCAAGCACTATATGAACTGGTTGCTGGTAGGCACACGCAGAAAGGAGGGGGCTCTGTCCACAGCAGCGCAGACTGGTTGTTTTCCTCTGTCTTCCTTCATCTCACAGTGTGCTTTATTTTAATCGAAGCCTAGCTAATTTCCAATGTTGTGTTAGCTTCAGGTGCATAGCAAAGTGATTCAGTTACATACACACACACATATATTCTTTTTCAGATCCTTTTCGTATATTGATTTTTATTAATATAAGATACTGAATATGGTTCCTAGTGCTATACAGTAGCTCCTTTTGGTGACCTATTTTATATGTAGTTGTGTGTATCTCCTAACCCCAAACTCCTCATTTATCTCTCCACCTCCTCCCTTCTGGTAACCATAGGTTTGCTTTCTATGTCTGCGAAGCTGTTTCTATTTTGGAAATAAATTGATTTTCATATTTTTTTAGACTCCATATGTAACTGATATCATATGGTATTTATCTTTCTTTGTCTGACTTACTTCACTTAATATGATAATCTCTAGGCCCATCCATGTTGCAGCAAATGGCATTATTTCATTCTTTTTTACGGCTGAGTAGTATTCCATCACACACACACACACACACACACACACACACACACACACATTTCCCACATCTTCTTTATCTATTCCTCTGTTAATGGACACTTAATTTGCTTCTACTTATTGGCTATTGTAAATAGTGCTGCTATGAACGTGGGAGTACATGTATCTTTTCAAATTACAATTTTTGTTTGTTCTGTATATATGCTTAGGGGACTCCTGGATCATATGGTAACTCTATCTTAAGCTCTTTTAGGAACCTCCATATTGTGTTGTTTTGCAGGGATGTCTCTGTCTGGGTCTCATGGACACGGCCCCTGAAGAACCAATCCAATTAGTCAGGTCAAGCCAGAAGTTCCATCCAGGTCTCCTGGATGCAGACAGCATACCCAAGGATGAAGTTGGGGAACAGATAAAACTGGGACATGCTTGGGTTTCCCAACCTTCCTGAGCATGGAGAATGCACTGAAATGCCAGAGTGTGCCATTGACTCTAGGTGTACAGAGTTTTGCTAAAGGAGAGGCAGCAAGTTGTTGCAAAAAATAGAGGGCCCAGGCTTCAGGGTGAGACAGAGCTGGGCACTTACATGGGACAGACCACTTGGCTGTGTGGGTTTAACCCCTTGCAACGGTTTCCTCATCTGACAGTGATGATAAAACCCATCTTACAGTGCTGTTAGATAGATCAGAAACCATGTATAATGGCCAAGAGTTAGGATGTTCCCAGGAAATTGTTGGAAATTTGGGGACTGAAAGAGGCAGTCTTGGATCAGCTGGGAGAAGATGGTTGTTGGAAAAAACTTGTTTTTGGTCATTTTGCCTGTGTTGTTCTTACTTTTAGCAGGTTGCATCATATCAATGGTTCTCTCCCACCTCAAGAACAAAACCCACGGTGCAAGCATTTGCAGAGTTTTAAGAGTATGATGGTTCTCTGGTCAAGTTCCCTGGAAGTGAGCACATAAGCTCTTTCAGCTGTTAAGTGGCAGAGTTAGGAAACAAATGCAGATCAACTTCAAGATACATGCTCCTCACGTTACATTTGTTTATGGGGTGAATGTTATACACCATCCATAGAAATATGCATCTAAGAAGAGGGACTGGGGAAGACAACAATGAACCCAAAGTAATAAAAGCATTTCAGCCACTTCTGTCTCACCCAGTGTGACACTGTTGGGATACACCCACCTTCCTGGTGGGTTTCAGATTATCTCTACAGGAGGCTGCCATTTTTTCCCTATGGACTAGACTTTCCAACCCATGTGGCTTGGAACGTTAATCCTGTCACTCAGTTGGGGTGAGCTGGGGTTTATGCAAACTTCTCCAGGTTCCAAGCCCCTCTCCTTCACCTGGGGTTCCAGTTGACCCTTGAAGAACACAGACTGGAACTGTGCAGGTCCACTTATATATAAATTTTTTTCAGTGATAAATATGACAGGACTGCAGGATCCCCAGTTGGTTGAATCTTCTGGTGTGAAACTGTGCATACAGAGGGCTGACTATAAATCACATATAGATTTTTAGTTTGCAGAAGGTCAGTGCCTTTGACCACTGGGTTGTTCAAGGATCAGCTGTATTATCATTTTCCATGTGTGCCATGGAATAAGGAAGTTTGGGAAATGCTGGCCTAACTGGAATACTTGGTCAGAAGACAGCTCGGTCTTGGCTTTGTCTTTGAATAGCTAAATAGCCTAGCATGGCAAATTATTCAAGCCTCAGTTTCCTCCTTAGGAAAATAGACACAATTTTATCTCGCAGTTTTGCTAGGGTTAGGATTCAGTGAGACTGTCTAATGGAGTGTCTGAAATATCATAAACGGTCAATAACAGTGCGTTGAATGTGCCACTTTTTTTCCAGTTTATAATCTAGCTCGCTGAAGTAACTTCTGACTTTCCACTACTCACAGCTTGGTAGTCGGAATTAGGAGATAGCTTAGCTGTTGGAGCTTGGAGTTTTGGCTGTGAGCCACCCCTGCCTCATCCCCTCTGCTAGCCAAGGTTCTGGTCTGATGTGGTCACCTTACAACAGAGGCTGGGAGGAGGCCCTGCTGGCTTCATCTCCCGAGGGAGCCCAGGGTAGACCCAGTCCTGTGCCCCCAACCCATCCAGCTCCCTGGCTGCTGATCTCATCCTTTTGCCAGGGCGAATTACACTTAAAACCAGATTTGGAGGAAGGAACGTGCATGCACACACAGCCGAAGCCTGGAATTGCTTACCCCCAAACAAGTTCCCTCCTCCTTCTGCTCCAGTTCCTCCTCTTCCCAGCAGCTCCTCGGTGGGGGTGGAAGAAGAAACGGAGTGTTCACCGTGTGTGCAAGGCGGTTTCCGGAGTCCTCTTCCACCTGACCCCATCCCGGACCAGCTCCGAATCTGAAACTGCAAGTTCACCGCATGGAGTGCAGACCGATCTGCACTGCTTTGCGTGGGTCAGGGGGGGTGAACCCAGCTCTGCGGGGGTGAGGGCTGGGCTGCTGGCCCACTGTACCTCATTATGTATTCCTTCATTGTTTCCTATGCAAATTAAGTTAATGAGAATTAGGAACATAATGGAGCCCATTCACCGTTCTAGTCGCTAGAAAATGGGTTTGACTACCAATTTTCCATTACAGCTGTTTTGTAATTACCGTGGAATACTCTGAATTCTAATGGAGACGCGGAGCTGCCTGACAGCCTCTCAACTACTTTTTTTTAAAAGAAGTTTTTTTTTTTTTTAAAAAGGGAACCCAAGCCCTGTAACAGAAAAACCTTTCAATCTGAGTGGCCTTGTGTAAACCTTCTCTGCTATTGCAGGAAGGATCTGCTTCTACTGGTGGGGTTACCTGACCTTTCCTAGGGTTAGAATCATGACCTTGCAGTCCCCGAATTAATCTGTTGCCTTGGAAGCAAGGAAGGCAGAGTTTGGGGTCACATTCAGCCAGGAGCTGCATTCTGAAGTCAGCCCAGGGCTAACTGCAGGCACTGCTCTGGGGCTTGATCTAACCTCCCCCCAACACCTCCCCAGGCAAGCCCCAGGACCATAGACCTTAGTCACCTGTTGCTAAGTCCTAGACAATTATCAACATATGGGTGTGAGTATAGAGGTGTTCCTTGACACCAAAAGCCCTTTTTTGGGCACTGAAGACTCTAGGGAAAGAATATGTTAAAAGTTCAAAAAGTTCAAAATTTGCCAATAGTTTAAAATGACTGGAATACAGAGGCAAGGGGGTGAGGGTGTAGCTGAGGGCTGTGAGCATTGAGGGAAGACAGCATGGAGGCCGTAACCTCAAGACTTGTTCTTAAGGTCTCTTAAGCATGGGGGGTCATGATGAAAGCCTCAGTTTAGAAGAATATTCTGGTTACAGTATAGAGAAGGGATTTGACATAGGCATCATGGGGTGGGGTTGTCATGGTTACAGAACACGTGAAACCCAGGTAAGGGGTGATGGCAGACATGAGTTGCTGCTGATCACTGGGGGAATCATGAAGGACTGAACTAAAGATGTGACAGTTGGGTTGGAGAGAAATGGATGGATTCTGAAGGCATTTAGGAGGTAGAATCAAGTGTGATGGTTAATTGAAAAGTTGGGTATTGCAGGGCAATCATGGGGTTCAAGGGCTCCTTGGCTTCTTGGGGGATACAATTCATGAAGACATACAATATTGAGAGCTAAGCTTCATGGAGAACATAATATGTGTCAGGTACTCTTTTCTTTTACATGTGGAACTCACATTAGCTTCACAGGAACCTAATGATGTAAGAACTATTATTAACCTAAGAGAAGCTGAGACACGGGAAGGTTAAAAAAAAAATTCTCGTCCAAGCTATCACGGTCAGCTACAGCCAGGACTCAAATGAGGTGAACTAGTTCTAGTCAGATGATCCAGTTTCACAGACTAGGTGGTAACTCTTAGAAAAGGAGATTTGCTCTGTGGGGTGTGTGTGTGTGTGAGAGAGAGAGAGAGAGAGAGATCAGCGCTGGATGTGTGAGGTGGGGGTGCCATCAGAACACTGTTGCATAGATTTCCAGTAGGGAGGTTGGGTAGATAGACTATATTTTAGGAGGGAGGATGGGCCTGAACACATTTCAGTTGAGATGTCAATCTGCAAACTGACATTTGAAGCGTGGGATGATACAAAATCTCTCAGGAGAGGTGACCAAGGACTTCTGGTAAATACCAGTTTATGTGCTGGACTTGAGAAAAGGACCCCACAGAAGCCACTGGGAGACAGTAGGGTGATAACTGGGAGAAAGTGATGGCCCAGGATCTGAGGGAGAATGTGGTTAAGCTTCAAATGCATGGAATTTAGGAAAAAAAAAAGATGCATATAGATTGGTTCTTGAAAAATTGTTGAGCATGAAAAAAGCTTATCAGAGATGATTCAGGAAGCTCTAGGAAGGGAGTGGTTTCATCGTTAGATAGGACTTCTACTCTATGCCCTGTTTTCCTGACATGCTCGGAAGTCGTTTCTTGGTTTCAGCATCTTTTGCCACCTGGAGAGGCTGAGAATTTTCAAAACCATCAAGTCCTGATTCCTTTTTATTTAACAGTATTTCCCTCAAGCTCTGTCTCCTCTCACATGTTACTGTAAGCAGCAGGATGAAACCTGGCAACGCCTTTGCTTGGAACTCAGCTAGATAACTAAATTCGTCCTTTGTAAGTCCTACTTTCCCCTTACACAGATGACAATTTTGTTAAGCTTTCTGTCCACTACATACCAGGGATCCCCTTTCTTCCAGTTTCTATTAACAAGTTCTTCACTTCCTTCTAAGCTCTCACTAGCACTATCCTTTTGAGTGTGTCTACTAACAGTCTGGACTTCCTTGGTGGCTCAGATGGTAAACAATCTGTCCACAGTGTGGGAGACCTGGGTTCAATCCCTGGGTTGGGAAGATTCCCTGGAGAAGGGAATGGATACCCACTCCTGTATTCTTGTCTGGAGAATTCCATGGACAGAAGAGCCTGGTGGGCTACAGTCCATGGGGTGTGCACCACCAAGCAACTAACACTTTGGGGGCTTCCCAGGTGATGCTAGTGGTAAAGAACCAACCTGCCAATGCAGGAGGCATAAAAGAAATGAGTTCTATCCCTGGGTTGGGAAGATCTCCTGGAGCAGGGCATGGCAACCCACTCCAATATTTTTGCCTGGAGAATCCCATGGATTCTGGTGGATCTGAAGCCTGGTGGGCTACAGTCCATGGGGTCACAAAGAGTCAGACATAACTGAAGTGACTTCGCATGCACACACTCACTAACACTCTCCTCAAGGTAATTTTCAGGTTTTCTCCATCATGCTCCTCAAAATTCTTCCAGTCTCTACTCTGGTCTCAAAGCCATGCTCACATTTTAGGTGTTTGTTACAGTAGTACATGAGGATTCTGTATTTGTCAGGATTCAACCAGAGGAGCAGACCAATGAGAGATATATACATGTATATATATTAAAGGCTTTGTTACAGGCTTACACAATTGTGGGAGCTGGTTAAGCAGTTCTATGAGGCTACAGTACCCTCATCTGATACTGGAGATTGAGTCTGAAGGCAAGTGGTCAGGACAAGAAGATCCTGAGAAGGCTGTAACCCATAAGCACAAGCTGAGCCCCATGAGCACAGCCTGAGACCTGTGCTTCAGAGGCTGGTTGCCTCTGACTTTGATGATGTGAGTATCATGCATGAGCAGGGCGAGCGAGTGGTGGGGGGTGTATCACAAAGCTGGGCAGGAGCCAGAGGTGTTGAAGGAAGATTCGAGGGAAGGTGGTGAAATTGCCCTCCTGGCCTTTGCTTCACTTCTGCCTTCCTACCTGCTAAATCTCCCAGGAATGTCCCCAGCAGTCCCTCTTGATCATAAATATATAAGAAAGGGAATTATGGGAAATGCAGTTCAGCCTGTCAGTGGATACATTACAAAGCTATCATGTCTATGCTCCAGTTATCCAAACATCTCTGTGTAACTGAACTCTTTTCCTGAAATACCTTCCCACTTTGTTCCTCCTATCTCTGCCCTCACCTATGCTTGGCCCCAACAGGACCTCCACTCTTATTAGCCCCATATATCCCCATGATATTTAATACTTTCATTATAACACCAGCCAAATGCATGGGTTTTATTTATTTATTTGTCTATCTCTCCTAGTGGACTCTGAGATCCTTAAACTAATATGCCATACTTTCTCTTGTATTCTCAAAAGTTATTGCCCAGCACATAGTAGGTGCTCAGTAAATGTGAAAAATGAAAGAAATCACAATGTCTCTGGTCTTCAGTGTGTTTTGGATATAATAGTATTCCAACTCAGAAGACCATTGTGAACATGAGCACTTCTAGTGCCAAGTTCCTGGTAGGTTATTATGGAAGCTCCAGAATTCTCTACTGGCTTAGGCCTAGGGTGAGGCAGATGGCCCTGAGGGGACCGCCCCCCCCCCACCCCGCCACCATACACACACACACCTTCACATGGGACTCTGTCAAACTTGTCATCCTGGAACCACCCAGGTCGGGGAGATGGGAAGATCTTGAAGAATGCTGTTTGTAAAGCTCAGGGAGGAGATGAACTGATAAATTCCCCCTTTTTGAGGAAAGACACATATGATACTTACATATGAGGATTCCTCAGTTGGCTAGAGAGAAAAGGATCCCAATCCTTGGGAAACCATGGTCAAGGGGACATGCTGTCTATGGAAGATAAGAGACACCACGGTCAAGGGGACAAGCTGTCTATGGAAGAGAAGAGACACCACGGTGAAGGGGACATGTTGTCTATGGAAGAGAAGAGATACCATGGCCAAGGGGACATGCTGTCTATGGAAGTGAAAAGACACCATGGTGAAGGGGACATGCTGTCTATGGAAGAAAAGAGATACCATGGCCAAGGGGACATGCTGTCTATGGAAGTGAAAAGACACCACGGTCAAGGGGACAAGCTGTCTATGGAAGAGAAGAGACACCACGGTGAAGGGGACATGTTGTCTATGGAAGAGATGAGACACCACGGCCAAGGGGACATGCTGTCTATGGAAGAGATGAGACACCACGGTGAAGGGGACATGCTGTCTATGGAAGAGATGAGACACCACGGCCAAGGGGACATGCTGTCTATGGAAGACAAGAGACACCACGGTCAAGGGGACATGTTGTCTATGGAAGAGATGAGACACCACGGCCAAGGGGACATGCTGTCTATGGAAGAGAAGAGATACCATGGCCAAGGGGACATGGTGTCTATGGAAGAGATGAGACACCACGGCCAAGGGGACATGCTGTCTATGGAAGAGATGAGACACCACGGCCAAGGGGACATGCTGTCTATGGAAGAGAAGAGATACCACGGTCAAGGGGACATGGTGTCTATGGAAGAGATGAGACACCACGGCCAAGGGGACATGCTGTCTATGGAAGAGAAGAGACACCAGAGTGAAGGGGATACTCTGTCTACAGAAGTGAAGAGATAGTGTGACGTTTGACCTAGATCTTGCCCAGTCAAGGGGATTTGCTGTCTATGGAATAGAAGAGATACCACGGTTAAGGGGACATGCTGTC